TCGCATGGTATAAAAAAAATATATAGTTCCATTTGAAATACGAAACTCGACCATCATATCTCGTTACATAACAAAGTTAACAAAACATCCTTCTCACTGAAACATGAGCCCCCCAATTTTACCATGCAATTTCCATATTTGAAATTTTGCATTCAGCCGATAGTTTTGGAGTTAGAGCTCTGTATACTTAGGCTGGGACATCCTGTATAATGCACCAAAATTATTACATACTCCACCACAATCGCCGGATTTGAATCCGATTGAACATTTATGGAAGGAGTTAAAAACAAGACTCAACCGTTGTCACGTTACCAACAAAATAGATGCAAAAAATAAACTTAAAGAAATTTGGGAAAGTATCTTTAATTCTACCACAAGGAATTTAGTAAAATCTATACCTAAACATTTGCAAGCTGTCATAGATGCAAAGGGATACATGACGAAATATTGAACTTGTATTTATTAAGTGTTGTATATAAGTTTATTTGGTATAAGCTCAATTTTGTGTTAGCAAAACAGCTATACTTTTACGTTTTTTATTAAATATAGATAAATAGTTCATTTTATTCAAAATTTCTTTTACGAATTATCTGTTACAATATGTGAATAAAATATATATTGAATTTTTACTTTTGAATACATGTGTTTACACAGTTTTCTGTCACTTTTCATTACCGTTATAGGGGTACGCTCAATTTTGGGAGTAACTGTAAATGAAATCAGAATACTCAGAGCTAACAGTCGCGTAACTAAAATTAATTCCCATAAAAAATGCAAAAAAGTAAAAAAATTACGCCAAGTACATAAAATAGTAGATGACTTAAAGAATAATCATAGAAAAATAGAAGATCCCCATTATTACCGAGATTGCATGTTCTGAGTAGGTTGAGAAAATGGCACACGCAGAGTTTTTTTACACTAAAGTTCAATAACTAAAAAATGAATGAAACACAGCACATACAAAGGAACACAGATATTAGCACTAAGTATTTACACTGATATTTACACTGCGAAATTATAATTATAATTTGCTAAGTTTAAATTTAAGTAAATAACCGAATCGCGTGGACTGAGAAACTCTTATCGAGTGGACCGAGTATTATTATTGCGTGGACGAGTAATTAAGAAAAACGTTCACAATACTTTCTTCGAGAACACGTGTTCTGCGAGCAAAGCGTAAACTGATAATGGTGTCTCCCATGCGGCATACCGGCTACCACGTGGTGAGAGCGCTTCGGACTGCTCCGGACACGGCGCGTCCAGGAGGTGCTGCCGCTATCGGCATCGGCACATCTGCGAGTTATGACTACCAAAGACTACAACATATCCAAATTTCGTCAAAATCTGAGATGTTACTAAAAAATAAAGATATATAGATGTCGAATTGAGTAACCTCCTCCTTTTCGAAGTCGTTTAAAAAAGTGTCTGATTTGGCATGAAATGACCTTCTTGGGTCACACTTTTCACCAATACCCCCCCCCCCCATCCCCCCGATCTATAAAACACTTTCGTGTTAAAATACAAAGATGACCTTCATATCTAGTTTATACCACCCCCTATCAAAAAACTAGTAATATCGGATGATCAGCGCATCGATACAAATTCATATTGGCCTAATGCACATTTTTTCTTATCACCAATAGCAGCCAAGTTATTCAGGTGACCGACTCACCCTGTATATTGAGAGTTAAATATATTTTACACCGAGAATGTAGTTATTGTACATATTTATCAAGTCACAGCCAATTATAAATCTCGAATTTTTATACATCATAACAATACCCATTATGTGTAAAATATAATAGGAAAATATTTATAAAAAAGAACTAAAATTGTCACAGATGAATCAAATGCAGATGGAAATTTTAATAAAGTAAAAATTACAAATTGCAATATTTTGGTAAGTAAATTATAATCACGTAGCATAGAATACAAACTTAATTTTAATATAAACTGTAACCTCTTTAAAAATTTGGAAAAAATATAATAACGTATTTTTTTGAAATCACGTAACGTCGTCGTGTCTTTAAAGAACTTGAGTTTTATATCATAGTACAATAAATTGTTTTATTTTATACGCGGAAAGTCAGAAAATCATTACAAATAAGAAAATTATGGACGAGAAATCCTATAAAAGATATAAACGAAGGATTACTGAAGCCGTAGCTGTAGTCGATAACGAATCGCCAAAGTTTGAAGTTTCCTGTTATTATAAAACACGCAATTTAAATATTGATGCGAATCGCATCAAAGAAATAGATAAACAAAACATGGAAATGTTAAAAAGGATCAGCATAATTACTCGTACCAGGGTAACTACTTTACATTCAAAAAACTTTTCATTATGAACACGAATAACTATGTTTCTTTCTGTATTTTTCAATTTGATATCATTATGTACTTAGTGTAAAGGCTTAACAAACGTCGCTTCGAAATTTATTCAGTACATTCACATTTTAACTTATTCATGATATTTTGCATTTTTGACTTAATCACATTAAGTCAAATTTAATTAATTTTTTATGGAGGTTTCACCTTCCAAATACTGTTCCAATTAGTGGGATAAATTATAGTCTCATAATCATTACTAAGGTATGCTTTATAATTAAACCTAATGATATTCACTTAATGAAACATCAATATTATAGAAAATGTAATCTTGCATTTGTACAATAGGGTGTAGTTGACTGTTGGATGCCACGCATCAAATACAATTTTAATTTTGAAGATCAAGAAGCAAAAAATCATATAATTATGAAATCAAATAAAACTTTACTGAAGAGAATTCGCAAAGCTACTAGTAACTACCCCACAGCAGAATTTATAAAAAGTTGGAAAGACATGCAAATAAAAGCAATGATCAGTAGAAGGCAAATTGTGAATTTTTAACTTTCCAAGAATTTTATACATAATATTTATGGAATAATATGTACATGTTTAAAATCATTTATTTATACATGGAAGAACTGTTCATCTACATTAATAATTACCAGATATTTTTCCTTGCCATGCTATCGCAGATTGCTACTTGTATGTACTACAAAATAAAATGAATGCATTTGGTTCTTATCCTTTAACAAAATCATTAAAGTAATTCAAATTGTTGAATGTACTATGTCACTTACATGTATCTTTATATCTCTTATAAATTTGTATAGGTTTTTCAAAGCATGCTATATTTGATTCATTTATTGCATTAATGGTAATAAAAAAAGAGATAAAAATTAAGTGGTAAGAATTGAGTCAATAAATTAATATTTTGTAGTGCAGTTCACATGTTATTTATATTATTGCAATTACAACAATCAATTTTATATAACAATACAATTTATACAAGTCATATGTATCTTAAATAACAAAACCTAATACTTCCGATTTACCCTTTAATAGGATAGTGTTCTGGTCTCAATGTGTCTTAATTAACCAGAATCAACAGTGTTACAAATATCATAACTTGTCTTGAATTTTATAGGTTTCCGGAAGAATCAAAGGGTAAAATTACTGTGTCTCATGTAAATGAAGATCATTGCATGGTCAAGAGTTTGTCATTAATGAAAGTACTAAATCCATCTATTCGAACTAAATGTTTCTTTGAAATAGAAGTCCGAGGTGACAAACAAAAGTTAGGAGTCATTCAGTTTGAACTTTATGATGATGTTGTGCCACAAACATGTGCAAATTTCGCGGAACTATGCCTTGGAACAAGAAAAGGTTTATCATACAAGTAAATAAATTTCACGAACGCCAGTTTTCACTCAAATATAATCAATCGTTAAATACCTTGATCGAAAATTAAGATTAACATTTCCTAACCTATTTATCGACGGTTACAAATAATATTCGGCACATTTTCGAATTTAATATCTCCAACTGAACAAAAAGATTTCAGGTTTTACTATCCATGTAAATTGAATTAGCAAAATTTAAGAGAATCACTTGAAATTAGACAGAATTAAATCAAATTTTTAAATCACGTCTTTCTCTCGTTATACGTTTAATCTTAGAAATACTTGAAGTTTATCGAAATAAAACATTATTTGTAGAATAATAATTTTCAATCATCAAAAGAATTTTTCACACTTTAGATTTTTGTGTGTATGTAATTGTGTATATAACAAACCTGATAGCAGTGGTGGACATTCGTGGGATTTTTCCCTCGAGGAATTCTTTTCTGCGCATGCGTAAGCTAACGTCACAGGTACATGTCGTCTGCTACCATACATGTATCTGAACCGCCAGGGGAGGTGCATGTAAGGAGCCTTTGCAATTTTTCTGCGTTTTTAACGGACAAATAAAGTACAAAAGTGTTAGTGCTTTTTTTTATTCATATTTCTACTTCTTCCTTATGAGTTTTTCTGGAAGTATGTACACATATCTAGGGGTGTGTATATATGTTATAAATCAGTAATTTTTTGTTATAGCTACTTTCTGGAAATGCTTGCATTTTTTTATTTAAAATTAGTCTTCTTTAAATGTATTCAGTTGTTATTGGTAAGGTATATGCTTCCAATATATGATTGTATATGTATGTTTCATGTATTTGTGTCTTGTGTTCATTTTTATGTGCAATATTTTTGTTCGAATATTGGTAAGGTTTTCTGTAGTCTCCTTACTCTTAGCAATAAATGTTGGTATTCATGTAATAAATCGGCTGCAGACGTAAAAACTAAATAAATATTGAATTGTTTTCTACTTTTTATTGTACATCTATGCTATTTTCCTTCATAAAAACTTTTTTCTTTCTCTATAACTTCCTTACATTTTGTTCCTTACTGGGATCCAATGGTACCCTAAATTCCTAAGTAAGTGTATACAGCAGTGAGGACTGCAATGCTCGCTCCAGTGCGCATGATCAGGAAAATTCCACGAATGTCCATCACTGCTTGATAGATTTCGCAATTGGAATACGTTATATGGAGATCTGCCTTGAGCGATCCCCTCTTCGACAGTTTTAGTTCCTACGTTGCACGCGACGAGCAGCAGTTTCGTTACCATTTGTTACAAAAGAAATATATAGTTTTTTATACGTTTATTAAGTCGCATTTATTTATGTGGGGTGCCCTTCCCCACATAAATTTGGTGACTTTGACGTGACTAGAATTAACCGACGTGATCGGAAGTAACTATAAAGTTGCACGTTCAAAAAATAGATAGCAACGATGTCGGAAACCCAACGTAGTCGATGGAAGACCAAGGCAACAGTCAAAGCACGTCAAGACCTACTAATAGTGAAAATTCTACAGGAAACAATAAAATGACAACCACACCAACGAGTGGCGGCGAAATTTACGCCAAGTTCCGAAATATCAAATTACCGACCTTCTGGAGAAACCGACCCAAACCGATGTGTTTGTCTCGTTTCCTTCTACGGAAAATGTTTAAAAGAGGAAACGAGACAAACATATCGGCAAACTTCAGATTTATTCGAAGCCTAGGGTTTTGCCTATTACTGACCCAAAGTCTGGTTTATCTAGCTAGAGAGTGAATTCGCGTCATATCGCATAAGAGCAGACGACGTCAAATTCGGAATGAGATACCTCGATGAAGAGACGATGGGGATGGTCGTAGATGTCCTGGAAAATCCTCGAAAAGGAAGCAGGTATAAAGGTTTAAAAGAAGCATTAATCGAAAGATTTACTGAATTGCAAGAAAAGAGATTGCGGAAGTTGATGAGCGGACTTGGTTACAAGAAGCCTTCTGCGCTGCTGAGAGAGATGCGAAATCTCGCAGGAACCAGTGCCTCGAAGAAGATTCTGCAGACGTTGTGGACTCAACGTCTACTACTGCGAGTCCAGGAAGTGCTCTCCGTCTTTGACAGTTCGGATTTAGAGAAATTAGCAGAATGTGCCGACAAAATAATGGAGAGCTCTGCAAATCCGATGATAGCTGTGGCATCGACAACACTCTCAAGTATAACTTCTACGGCCACGATCCAGGAAAATCCGATACAACGATTGACGCAACAGATTAGCGAACTAACAACGCAGGTAGATGTTTTAACCGAAGTAACCGTAAAGGTCATAGGAGAGGTCGAATACGATGGCGATCCCGAAGCAGGAGCCGTCCTGGGAACCACGAAAACTCTGGCGAACACGCTATGTGTTTCTATCACAACAGGAGGTTGGAGGCGGGATCACTCAATCAAAACGTGATGTACCATCAGAGTTAGCAGCAATCACTAATGGTCCTAACGTTTCGCGCCGTTTATTTATCTCCGATAAGTACATTAGCATCTGATTTCTGATTGATACAGAAGCGAATGTATCTGTACTACCAGCAACACAACACGACAAAACGCAGGTCGCGGATTTTAAGCTTTATGCAGCCAATGGAAACCGAATAGTAACATACGGAACGAAAGAATTAACGCTTGACGTACGCTTGACAAGGAGAAGTTCGAGTATTTGATCCAGCAAAGCTATTGTAGACCTTTTTTTTTTATTGTGGAGAAATGCGTTACGCATACTTCGGCTCAGCGGGGGAGAAGCTGAGGTCATGTGGGACTATCATCAGGGAGGGGAGGCGCGCCCATCCGCGATGGCTACCCACACCCGCCTAAGCTACTTGGGAAGTGCCTGGATCACGCAATGCGTTTCGACCTTCCACATCGGGAACGGCTCAGTAACGGAGTGGTACGACGAAAACACGCGCACTGCGCGTACACTAAGGACCAGGGAAGAGGGTGCGATTCAGAACAAGTCATGAATAGAGATCCTGGAAAGCGAAACGCCATTTTATTTTTGTTTTTATTTATTTTTCCTTTTTTTTATACGACTCCATCGTTTAGGAGGGAGTATTGATGAAATCCGCCTTGAGCGATCCCCTCTTCGGCGGTTTTAGTTTCTACGTTGCACGTAACGAGCAGCAGTTTCGTTACCATTTGTTAAAAAAAAAATATAGTTTTTGATACGTTTACTAAGTCGTATTTATTTCTGTGAGGTACCCTTTTTTGCATAGTTTTTGCTTTGTTGGCCGGAGGAGGCCGCCGGTATGGCCCCCGAAGTCCTTTTGGTTGCGTGGGTCTTAGCCCCTGTTCCGGTCTAGCAGTAAGACCGGAGGAGACAGTCACCCAGCCGTTGATTCTACCTGTTTCTCGCTGGATTCTCGCTTTCATTTGGCCCTGGCCATGCTTCACGAGGACATCGCTACTTCACGGGGCGGTCCATTATTGGGTGAGCCCATTCTACCTATATCTCGGTAATGCCGAAGCGGAGTTGGACGTCGGGCAATTCACATCCCTCAGGACCTGCAGTGCCAGCCTGCATATTTCCCCTTGCGCCGTGCCATCGAGACTGAGAGCTCTATCCACCCCTTATCATTTTATTCCTGGGCCGATAGTCAGTCACCTTTCTCAGCCTTTTTTTTTTTTTTTTTTTATGTGTGGAAATGCTTTACGCATGCCCCGCCTTCCCGGGGGGAAAGGCAGGGATATACGGGACTCAGCCCTGACCATACCCGCTAAAACCACACACACGCCTCATAGCTAAATGCAGACTGCCTGGATCACGCGTGTACTCAACAGGACAGCCTCCGCTATACATAAAATCCCATGCGGGGGAGTTAGCCCCCGCTTTCCCTACGCTAAAAAGACCCCGGGTGGAGTGACCCGCCCGGTGTCCCCATTCCATGAGAGCCTTCGACTTAAGCTTCCCGAGCCTCCGCTCGGTCCACTTACAGCTCTCTGGCATCATCGTGTCCCGTCCAAGGCGTAAGACCCCTACGATAGGGCCCACCCAGGACGAGCCAGGATGACGCCTACTTCCGGTAAGAGAGAGCCGTCGGAGGTGTGTTCCGGCACACCTCGGCTTTCTCCGCCCCACCCCCCTTCCCCACAACAAATTGTGGGGGAGGCCGGCACTCTAATCCGAGGGGATAAGCGGGTGCCGGACCACCCCGAGGGAAGCATAGCTTCCCTCAATGGACCGGGGTCAGCTCACACCCCGGTCCGATGGCCTTCTCGGCCTATTGGCCCTTCCCCCCTTTGCGAAGGGGACGTGACCTGTCGTGGGGGGGGGGGGAGCCCTGCACAGTCCCGCTCAAAGCTACCCGCCTATTTGGCGGGGGTCTACGGCGCGAGGGTCGTAGTCCGCGTCCACGTCTTCGCCGCAGGGGTGACACTGCGCGGTTGGCTCCCGCCCCATTCTATGCAGGTACTCACCAAAACACCCATGACCGGTGAGTACCTGCGTGAGGCGGAAGGTCAGCCTTCTCCGCACCCTGCACCACGTATCAAATACGGGCAGGATGGCCCGGACGATTGAACGACTCGATGGAGCATCAATCAAGCGCTGCTTCCACCGGGCGAACGTGTTCGTTCGGGCCTGACGCTTCATTTCTTCGACCTCCTCGGCCTCCTCTCTGCCGAGATCGACCCCTGGCGGTCGGCGGGCGGCGCAAACTATATGATATAGCCGCGCCCGTTCCGCCGCCACCAAGTCAAGTGGGGCGATCCCGGCCAGAAAAAAAGTTTTCCATTACCGAGTCTTGAACCCACGAACTCTAGAATATCAATCTGCGGCGTAACGCTCGTAGCTACAACAGCTTCTACCTTTCTCAACCCCTTCCCCCCTCTCTGACTTTATTCCCTAGCACTCCCCCCTTCCCTCTTTGCCCACCCGCCTCTGTCTGAGAGGTAGTGTCTGGGTCGCGAGCAAGTCTACAGCCCTCCCTCCTCCTTAGTTGATTAGTCTATTCCACTCGGTTCCTTACGCCGGCGGTAGCCCGTCGACATCGCTCGACGTTTGGATTACCGGCTTGTCTCTGTTTTTTGACACTCCGCGGGTTCTCTAATTAAGAACCGCAGAGTAGTTCGAGCAGTGCTCTGCTGCATCTTGGAGGTCAAGGCAGCACCGCAGCTGCTCGTCCTCCTCCGCCGATCTTACCTATTCCTATCACGGGCCTATCTTATTTGGGTTTACAGTTTGTCTCGTTTGCCCCCGTAGCTCTCACTCCCGTAATCCCCTTTTGTATGATTGTGTATATCAGGTACGGTCACCACCCGTCCTAGGTCTGAGCTCTTCCCATTCTAGGGGGAAGCGCACTAGCCCTTTACTTACGATGGTTATTGTTGGTTTATTTGTAGTACACCCATTGCTTGGAGGTGCCGTGTTATACACTTGGCTTGTGTGTATTGTGGCGCGTGTGGAAGAGGGCCCTCTCCTCGCCCCCCGCCAGTGGACCTCTTCCTCGGCGAGGTGCCACAGTTGACCTCCATACCAAGGCGTTCCCTGTGGCTACTTTTTGTGCCGAAGCGGTTTTTGGGTCCTCTTTAGTACACACGCCATGTTTTACCCTCGTGGGATGTAATTATTTATGCTACTTGTTAGGTTTCGTTCATTTTCCATGGGTTAATTTCTGCTATGTAGGATGTTATTTTGGCTGGTTTCAACATTGGTATCATGTCTGGTTCTAGGAAGGGTTGTTCTAGGTGTTTCCTTCTAGTCGTAATCAGTCTTGTTTGTTTAGTTGTATTGTTTGTCGTGCTCGTTTCCTGTTATTTGTTTATGTGCCTAGCAGTTCTTTGGCCTGCTTGCAATCTTGGGTGTCTATCCATTTCCTTTTCTTGGCTGTTTCACGCCATTTTCTAATTTCTTCGTTGTATGCTGCTTCGGGCAGTGGTATTATGGGTTCGGGTCCCGTAGGGGGTACATCCGAACCCAGGTTTGCTAGTCTATCGGCTTCTTCGTTGCCTGTTACTCCTGAGTGTCCTGGGACCCAGGTTATTGTGACCTTATTGCCTAGTTTCGCTAGGTCATTTAGTCTTGTTTTGCATGTGAGGTACCCTTCCCCACAGTTACGAGGAAAACTACACATATGTCACGTGTCACGGTCAAAGTGCGACGAGAGAATGGAAGAAATGGAAAGAGTGGAACGCAAAGGTGGGGACGGCCCTCGTTACTCGTGCGTTACTATTGCGTTACTCGTGCATGCACGTCGGAAAAAGCGGAGCGCACAGTAGTGTAGCTATACAAAACGATATTGGTCTTTATTTGTTTGTTTGTTTCTTAATCTTATAAGGATACGAAATCTGTTTTATATTGATTGTTGCACTTATTATTAACATGTGCTCTTTTTCATGTTACATTTACATTATTTTACATCAATCTTTAACTTTTTACATTACATTCTTTACATGAATGTTGGGACCCACTGGCTCCCTATAGCTCGGGACCTCGAGATCGCTAAACCCGTACTGTAGCTACAATAAACATGGTGTTGGATTTTCTCTTCCAAGAAGAGAAATTTTTTCGTTTACAAAAACCATCGCTGCGCGTGTTGTGTCTCCTTACGAGACACAAGTCAAGAGGGAGCAGCTATGTCCCATTTTTAACCGACTTCAAAAAGGAGGAGGTTACTCAATTCGACATGTATATTTTTTTTTTTTTTATATGTATGTTACTCGATTACGTCCATACGGCTTGACCACTCGGGATGAAACCTATTGCATCTTGTAGAGCATGTCTCGAGGGTGGTTCTATTATCAACAAATTTTGTAATTTCTCATTTTTTACCCGTTTTTTTGTACAAAAAACCGAAAAATGTTGTATTGCTTCTTATTTCGAAACGAATTGACCAATCGGATTGAATCTTCTTGCATCTAGTAGGGCTTCGTTGCCTCTTAAAAGCTTAGAAAGACATTCGACCTACTTCCATTTTTTACCACTTTATTGCACTTTTTATTGCAAAATTGGACTATTTCACGTATCTTCGGCCTGAATTCGATGAAATCGATGAAACCCTTTACATTTAGCTGCTGGACAGTTTTCGAGTTGATCACTTTGCAAAAATGATTTTTCTTATTGTTTATAACTATTGTTATTGCAAACTTTCAATTCCTTTATGTAACTCGACAAGGAATTAACCGACTGCGATGGAGCCTTCCACATTTCATGATAGATGAATTCGTGATGTTCCCATTTGCAAAAATTTATGGACACTTTCATTGTTTAAAAACATTGTTGCCGCAAAATTGCTATGCTCTGGTGTAGCTTGACAAGGAATTTACCAAACACAATCAATCCTTTCACATTTAGTTCCACATGCATTCCTGATAATCCCATTTGCAACTATACAGGGTGTCCCAAAAATGTTGGATGTCTTTGAAAGGGGTGTTTCGGGGGGTGATTTGAAACAATTTTATCTTTGCGAAAATGTTGTTCGAGGTTTCGTTAAGGAGATATTGACAGAAACCCCCGACCAATCAGAGCGCAAGTTTGTTTCTAGAATATCCTCTTAACGAAGCCTCGAACACCGTTTTTGCTAAGGAAAAATTGTTTCAAATCACCCCCCGAAACACCCCATTCAAGGACATCCAACATTTTTGGGATACCCTGTATATTGCTCATAACTATTGTTATTGCATGAAATCTACTGGTTATAGATTGCCACTAAAAAGAGTGAAATAATTTCTATTTCATTTATATTAAATGATATTCGATAATATATTAAATTTCTATTTCCTTTATATTAAATTATATTAAATAATCTTTTTGTAGTCGGCGAAAAATTAAAAATTTCTTACATTCAAAATGACCAAATTTGGTTTAAATTTCTTTCGGAGGGACAAAACTTATGCCCTTAAATTATTGCTATCATCATATCTACTTCAGACATCATATACATTAACACGTTTCACCATCGGCGCCTTCACCACAAACTATTCCAAATCTACTCAGATAGTACTTTCACGTAGACATTTATTCTCTGGCTGAGCGTTCTATAGGACAGTATCTCGGCTATACGGCCATACCTGCACCCACACGAAAGTGATGAGTTTGTAAAACGACAAACAAGCGCCTAATAACTGATTCTTAGTACCACTGACCACTGGTAGGGTTTCTTATTCTAACGAACCTTCACACAGCCGACCAGGAAAGAAAATGGAACGACAATGGCCCTCTCCATTATTACATTTCATCGAGGCAAGTACTCGGAAACCACGTAAAACTCTAGTGTTGAGCAATTGTAAGGAATTTTGCTTTTGGGTCCTCTTTTTCTGGGGAAGTCTATTGCCATCAACAACCCCAGGTGACCGACCTGGACTTTCACGTAGACAGTATACATGTATACTTTAACAGCATTTAACATTGCCGCTTTCACCAAAAACTAACTCAAGCAGGAATTTAAAAGTTTTTAATTTTGCGCCGACTACGAAAAGGTTATTTATCATAATTTAATATAAAGGAAATAGAAATGTAATATATTATTGAATATCATTTAATATAAATGAAATAGAAATTATTTCATACTTTTTAGTGCAATTTTAATATTTTTTCGAAGTCGGTTATATTTTTTTAGAGGGTCCTTGTGTTCCTTGTGCCATGTCACCCCGATCTAGCAGTAAGACCTTTCGTTAGTTCCTCACTTTTCTTTGGCCCGGGCCTATCTTTGTTGAGGACGCTAGCTACTCCGTGAGGGTGGTCCATCATTGGGCTGGGCCATGCTGCCTATTCCTCGAGAACGCCGAAGCGTAGTTGAGTGTTAGGCAATCCACATCCCTCAGGACCCACAGTATCAGCCTGCATTTCTGTCTCCCCTCTTCACTATGCCATCAAACCTGAGAGTAGAGTCCTATACACCCCTTGTCATGCTAATCCTGGTCTGCTGTTCGATTACCATTCTCAACCTACGTGTTCCGTAACACGGGATGGATCTATTGCCCTTAAAAATTACCACTTCCCTTCCTCCCTTCCCTGATTCTGTTATTCTGTTGTTCTATTCCCTAACACTTCCCCCTTCCCACCTCTTTCTTATAGGTTCTAGGTACTATGCTTTGCTGGATGGTTGGTGAGGCAGCTCAATTGGCTGTCGCGTAACGGCAACACCTCTACCTGCACGGACACCGAACGAACGACGGAGCCAGGTCAGTATTCAAGCATCAGAATACGACTATGTACTGTGACTGTCGGAAAAAAGGGGATCATGGGGACGTTTAGACGGAGCGAGCGTAATCATCTGTCTCCTCAGTCCCCACTAGTTTGTGAGACCCTCGCCAACCATCCAGCAAGGGACAATAGTCTATGGTCAAGTGGTGAATTATTTTCCCCATGAGTATCAGCCCCGAACGACACGGCTGCCTCTTCTATCTTTTAGCGCGGTAACCATCCGCCTTAGATTTGGGTTCCCTGAGGGAACGATAGATGGTCTCTATTTTGTTATACTTTTATAATTCTTTAGAGCAACTAAGGACGCCAGTTTTATAGTCGTATTAGTGACGCTAAAAACTGTGCGTATGCGTGACGTAGAGCCATCTCTATCATCACTGACAATGAGTAGGATTCTTTTTTACCAAATTGATTACCTCTATAATTGCATGAATCACGATACGTGCAAAAGTTTTTAACACCATTTCTTTACAACTATCGTGGTTCTATTGAACGATTAAATGATTTGTAATATGTTAACTATATAATAGAATAAAATATCATAAAACCTGAAAAGGCAAAGTTCAAATATCCATTATCCAACAGGAACACACCCTTCCATCGTATTGTTACCGGTTATTGGTGTCAAGGCGGAGACGTTACGAATTTTAATGGTAGCGGAAGAGCTTCTATATTTGATCAATCATTCGTGAATGAGAATTTCAATTTACGTCATGCTGGCCCTGGCATTTTATCTATGTGTAATGACGATGAAAATAAAAACGATTCCAAATTTAATCTTACTTTTAGACGATTAGAGACAATGGATGGAAAATATGTAGTTTTTGGAAAGGTTATTTCGGGTCTCTCAAATATTTACAAGGTATAGAAAACTGTTTGAAAGCAAATAAAAATTTATATCACTTTGTTTAAAAAAAAGAGAAAATTATGACCTTAAAATATTATTGGTATATCCACCTGGAACAAAGAAAATATCTCCACGCTATGTCTGACATTAAATAAAAAAATGTCTCCCATAAATATGTTTTTATTAAGTTTAAAACTAAACCTGTTTAATTAAGTGACCAGTTTGAAATGGTCCATCCTATATTTAAAAATAAAATATGCACCTGAATTCAACATTGTGTACATTTTTATTAGAGACTAATCTAATTTATGTAATTTTTAGATTGAAGAATTTGGGACAAAGACGGGAAAACCGATTAAAACAATAATTGTAGCCAACTGTGGTATTATATCAAAAAAACACAAGCGGTACCCACCGGAAATAATGAACGACGTAGAAAAAAATACATAAAACAAGGAAACGGAAAACTCTATCGATACGAACCACTTCGGCAAGGATTTCGATTATAGCAAATGGCTGACATGCTCATGAGTGGCTAATTATTTAGGTACTATGATCGATCATTGTGTCAATACGTGATAACTTAAATATAAGTGATAATTTAAAACAATGATAAATAAAACACATTACATTAACCATTTTTTTTATTGTTTTATTTGTTGGAATGTCAGTCTGTTTGTGACTTAGCCTTCCATTTTTAGTTGGTTTTTAATATTTACAAATTCTGTTGGTGTCAAATATACATAGCTCTGTATATAATTGTATCAAACATATTGTTTATAATAATAAGGTACTTTAAAGGCCGCATATATAATAAATGTTACTTATGTGTGCACATTATCCTTGCAAAACATAACCATTGTGCAATTAAAATGTTTCACTATTTCACCATTTCACCATATGTACAATATATGGTGTACAAAATGCAGCTTTTTCAGAATCGCCTAATTATCTCAATTATATCGTGTATCAGATACAAAAACCTCTAGCGATGTATACATTTTAAGAATATAATTATTATTAAAACCATTATTCTATGTATATTTTTAAAAAAAACCTATAAAAACATTTATTTTTTCTGTTCTCATTAACGTTATATATATTGAATATTGTAGAATATATACGTATATTATTTTCAAATTAGTATTTTTTATTTATTTATATGTTAGTGTGATTTAAAAAGTGTTAAGAAACTAAATGTATTCGAAAGTAGACGCTAGAAATCTGAATAGATTAGGTCACTTGTATAGTCGCCAGAACTTTCTATTGTTTGAATGTTAATTATTAAGTTTAAAATAGAAAAAATAAATATGACTATGTAAACAATATTATCAATTAATGCATGAAAATAACATTATATTTAAACAATATTATACCCTAATAACATTCGTGCACTGAAAATTATAATTTTCAATAATCTGTATAAGTACTTAGGAGTAGTGCACCTTTAAGCTGGTATTCTTTTAGGGTTTAAATCATACATACGACGCATACGTTTCTTCAACTCTTGCGGAAATTTATCATAACATTTTTTACAAGCTGGCTTTAAATCAAATTCAAAAAACTTGGTTTTCTGATTCATTTTTTGATCACAAAACGCACATGCAAAGTGATGAACACACCATGCTTTGTTTAAAGCTGTGAAAACTGAAAAATACAAAATATACAATATATAGTAACCCCTTATAATCTGGCAAGAAATACATGAAAAAGGATTGCACTGGTTAAACTTAATCTTTGAATAAGGGTACATAAGAGTACTCTATCCTAGCAACCATATGCCATACTTAACACATTGCATACCGACTACATATCAGCTACTGAACCCCTAAACGCCAGTTTTGTTTGTCTGTCTCTGAACAATAAGTAGCAAAAGTAAAATGGGATATTTTAATTGACTATTCATCAAGTATATAGAATTTAACAAAAATGAAAAATACAAAAACAAAATCGAAATTTGTAATGTATGAATTATATTAAAGTTAAACGATAAATTTAGAAACCCGCATTATCGCAGTGCCTGCGGTCAAGTGATAGATTCAGAAACGCGCATTATTATCGGGGCGGCACTCAATGTGTTAAGTCAATTTTGAAAGTAATGTAACAAATATATTTTCCTGAATGTAACAAATTAAATAATTCTATCGAATTTAAATAATAATAAAACATAATATACATACCATCGCCATTGATTACTTGATTGCATACAAAACAAAGATTTCCAAAGAGTTGGTGGTAATGAGTCTCGCAATAAGCTAAACCTTTTTTTTCATAATGCCGATGACCTAAGAATGGTTTCTCACATTTTGCACAAACAAAGTGCTCAACATGCCAGTGTTTACCCAAAGCAGTTACTACACGTTCTTCAATTGGACGTCGACAAGCTCCACAAATTGGAATTCCCATTTTGTCATGACATCTCAAACAATATAGCTCATTCTAAAAATATTAATTGCCAATATATATCTTCAAGATAATATTTAAAAATACAACAACCTTTTCATAAATACCATATCATTAGCAGCATATCCTGCCCTGGAATTCACTTCTCTGGCATCAGAATTAAGTTCTACTCCACAAGCTGAACAATTAAAATGATAGGGATGATATAATTCCCCACGAAAGCGCAGAGGTTTATCGTCAATTACTCCACTGAAAACATATACATGTGTTAGAGTATAACAGATAAACTTTTTTTACAATTTATTGCACAAATAAACTTAAAAGTAAAATGCCACATACTGGCACTGATGACAGATATATTTTCCAAGTGCTCCAGCTTTCACACGTGCATTACAGGTATGACATAAAGCTCTACCCTGACATTTAATAAATCCTGCATCAGCCAATTCACCATTGCATTCTTCACAACGGAAACAACCTGGATGCCAATTGGCATTCATTGCTTTTATCACACGACCAATAACAAATTCTCCTATACATAAAAAAGTTTAAAAGTTATTTCCATAAAGTTACACGTTAATAATATTACAATACGTATTAAAATTCTTAAACAACATTAAAGTTAGGTAAATCAAATGTACCTTACCACATTTTTCACAACAGGGAGCAAATAATACATGAAAATCATGCTCGCAATACTTGTATCCTTCAAATTCATAAAATATTCCATCAGGAAATGGACGAAAACACTGAGCGCATCTAATAAAATAAAACATTCGTTAAAAATTATTTACAGGAAAATTAATTACATTATTAAAATCCGTGTTAATTGAAAATATAAACTATTTCTAGAAATAGAGTTCCTTACACAAAACATTGAGAATGCCATAATTCTCCATGTGAATTAACAATTTTTTCATGAGCTACAAAACCTTCTCTGCAGCGAGAACAAAACATATGATCCAAAGACATTTCTGTAACACTTTGGTAAAGATTATATTGTTAATAGTAATATCTATCTGAAGAAAACTTAACTTATAATACATATTAAACTTTTAATAAAAGTTCATAAATAGTATCAAATAATATAATAAGATATTCCCTTATTTTATAAACATTTAACATTTACACTATTTAATAAATATATTGCATAACCCTCATTATGGTAAGCCGGACAATTAGTCATAATAAAGTCTTAGTCGTGAGTACCTCGTCTTCTTTCTTTCCTTCTTCGCACGGACACTACACATCAATATTATATATTTTAATTTCAATTATTTCTCAATTTTGTATAGTTTCATACAGTTTTCACATAGCAAACGATATTTTTAATTTTATTAAGATATGAATAATAAAAGAATGGAAAAAATATTAATTATTAAAGTAACAATTACAAATAAATTTCAATCGAAAATCAATGCAAGTTAATAATGTACAAGTATTAAATTAATTTTCCTGAATGAATAAAATTAACTTTTTTATTTCATTCCACGATGTACTCTGGTTCCCATAAATTTCAACTTGTTTTCTTCCTTCTACGACGAATAAACACAGATGTAAATATCATATGTATCTCAAATTAAATTTTAAATATCTTCATAGTAACGAATTTAAAATTATATACCTGTAAATGAATTTTTAACGGCGGAAGAGATATCTTATAACACTACGTTTCGCAAGAGAAATAATCGTGCTTACCCTGGCATTCTTTTAATGATGAAGAAGAACTAATTAAATCTCACGAGATTTAATTTATTCGTTCAACAATTTTTTAAGCATTCCATTTTATCCATTTTAGAGATTATTTGGAAAAGTACTTGAATTTTGTTATACATGAAAAAAATATTATTTGTTATTAATACTACTTCCACTTTATTTTATAAAACTATATTTTGTATGCAAATGTACATATCCACACAACGTTGTTTCATGTAAAACTAGAGATGATTCGTTATGAGCTTAGAATAAAAATTACGTCATCAAATAATGCACCTCCTTCTCTAGAGTAAACGTTTCATTTAAATGCACCGACCAATCGGATGATAGAAACACAAAATTGCCTTTTGCGAAGAGAGAGCCAAACACCATATATTATGGATACGAGATAGGGTGCGCAGAAGACCGAGCAAAACTCCGAGTTGACTTCAGCGATAGTTGGCGGAAAAAGTAGGAAGCTCCGAAACAAGGATAGTTCGATCCTTGTCTCTCTAATGATGCTGCGACAAAGAGGGAGATACAACAAACGGAGAAGAGACAAAGACAGAATGATATCAAACATTTGTAATTTTCCAAACAGTTACTGTGAGTAACTTTAATATTCGGACACTGAGATTTTTTGCTTTGTTTCATCATAACTTCGTTTCTAATGAAACAAATAAAAAACATAATCAAGTATTATATTAACGTATATGTGTAGTAAACAATAGTATAAGTTTTATTTATATAACTTACTGTAGTTGTTAAATAATACGATTTAAACAAAACATTGTCTGATTTTCGCATTACTTTTCTGGGTGTTTACGCAGAGTTACTTCGAGTTTAGAAGGAGTGTTTGTTTACAAACACGAGTCGACTATTCGGATGATACCAGGGCCCACAAGCTGCCGTATTTAGGGTTGAAGCCCAATCCAACTCGCGCGCGTAAGGAATGATGGCGCCAGTGTCGTTACTACACATACATATAATCCATGAGATACACACACACAACAGTATGGTCCCACTTATGTGTATTTAATTCGCCCCGATGCGGATGATGGCGCCACTGTCGTTACTACACATACATATAATCTGTGAGACACACACACAACAGTATGGTCCCACGTATGTGTATTTAATTCGCCCCGCTGCGGATGATGGCGCCAGTGTCGTTACTAATACATATATATAATCCGTGAGACACACACACAACGGTATGGTCCCACGTATGCCTATTTATACTTGCTTTAAAATTAATCTAAATAAAAAAATAATTATAGGGAGAACAACACAACTTATACAAAATTAAATTTATTATTAACGGAAAACATTGAAAAAACAATAAAGAATCTAAACTTCAATTGTATAAAATATATATACAAAAAACATATTTATTTATATAATAAAGTGTCAACATTCATACATATACGTTCATATAAAATATATAAAAATACAAACGCAACAATAATATAAAAATGCATATACGGGGTGTCCCAGAACTCCTGTAAGAACCGGAAATGGGGGGTAGCTGACATGATTCTGAACAACAATTTCCTTTGCAAAAATGTCGGTGGGGGCTTCATTTTTCGTTAATAATTCAAAAATGAAGCCTCCAACAACATTTTTGCAAAGGAAATTGTTGTTCAGAATCATGTCAGCTACCCCCCCATTTCCGGTTCTTACAGGAGTTCTGGGACACCCTGTATATTCACATAATAAAGTGTACACATAAAGTATAAGTTTCATACAGGACTGGATTCATTATTAGGGAAATAAAATATGTAAAGTAAAATAATTAAAAGAAAGCAAATGTAAAATATTAAAAATTGAAACATAATCCCATTAAAACATGAATCCAGTCTTGCGTGCATAATTTTGCACACTCACATTAATAGGTCGCGTTAGAAGTGGATCCGAGTCCATTCTTTCTTCGAATCCACTTATAACGCGATTTACTCTACTTATATATTTTTTGACAACATATATGATACATAATTGTATCATATATGTTGTCAAATTATTGCAATGTTTGGATTCGTATTTCGACCACCATGCTGTCTAATTTGACCGAAAAAATTCTCAAGGGCATCTTGATTAAAATTACGCGGAATAAATGAATGAAATCAAAGACTCTGCAGGTGTGATTTTAAAAATTTAAAATTTCGAAGGGTCGTCACCCAATTCTGCAAAACCTTCGGACGCTCCTTATCCGCAGGCTTTCTTTTAATAAACTTCATGCTGCGAAAAACTGAAATTGCTTTATCCCAAACATTAGTTAGGGTCGTATCTGTTCTGTGTGTCCGATTCGCAACTCTACTATTGACACTGACGAACGTATCATTCATAAAATGAATAAGTTCAGCAGTGTCAATCCCTTGATCCGATATTTCCCGCGTACCACACATACTTTTGGCCTTGTTACGACTCGCAAATGTCATAATGGATCCAACTGATCGACTAAAAACTTGAGCGCAATATTTAACTTTCATTTTCGGAATTTTTGAAGAAATAACATGTTTTGCAGTAAGTTTCTCCAGGAGTCGGTTCTCCGAAGAAACATTACTGCTATCAATAAAATATAAATCTTCCACGTGTGACCATTTAGCCACCCGTGAAATATCATGTAAATTAAAGCTCAAGTTTTTCGTCAATAAATTGTTCCGGACACATTTTAATAAGTGGGGTGGATTAAACAGCGGTACGATTATGTTACTGTCGATTTCAATAACAACATGCCGCAGTGTATTTGATCTCTGAAAGGCATTTCTTCGCGATGAATCTAATAAGCTTTGGATAGCTTTGCAATTTGTGCTTCCTTGGTCACAAACTGTTACTACAACTACTATACCGACCTGACTTGCACGGCGAACTATTTTTTTAAACATACGAACAAGGTTCTCAGCTGAGCTGGAACCTTTACAAAATGAATATGCAACAGGTTATTTCCAAGGTCGCACACCATGTATGCCTTTCAACATCCACACTGTGGCATGATCCGCGATATCTAAGTTACGTGGAAACCCGGAATCTACAAATCCAGCAATAACATCTATTGTAGGATTATACTGCAACGACGGTGCTAAACTAATTTCATCAAAAAGCAGACATGCGTATCTGCTTTTTGGGTCAGTAAATAACTCGCACTGCTGTTTGAGTTCCTCAAAAACATTATCGCAAATTCCAGCTTTTAATGGAATTTGCGATATTAGTTTCCGAAGAGTTTCGATACTTGGCAAAAGAAATAATTTTTCCAAATATCGATACGCTTTAGAACTTTGCTTATAAATAGATAAAGCTAATAGCTTCTCTTTTTCGGTGAAGCGTCACGCCGATTTTTGTTTGTCCGCGTTGCGCATCTGAGCCAAGAGCATCGCGTGCAGGGGTGTTGGCAGGCTTTCTAAAACCTGATGAACACCGGTCTGCACGAGATGCTCAATCTTCCCGATGCGTTGTCTTACCGAAGATCTCCGACGCCTCAATTGCCTCGCAGATTTCAAAATCCTGGCCACAGCCTTGTAGATCTTGAGCTTCCTGGGTTTGATCAAGTTGCTCGACCTAATCATTTTCAGGATGTCACCTGTGGAAAGAAAATATATATAAGTAATGCATTTATGTATCACATTGAACTTAAAGGGGGGGGGCGGCGTTGAATTAGTATAATCTGCTTCAAATATCGCGCCTAATTTGTTTCAGATGGCGCTCTCATATAATATCACACCTACTCTAGTACTAGCCATGTTGAGATAAAAATGGCAACAGTGCGAGAGTCCGGCTACCCTATCACTGATAGGCTATCAGCTTCGACCAGCCTCCTGGCCTCTCGCTACAATTGGCTACATATTGGAAAATAGGACTCCTGATCTGGTTTTTTGCGGTGTTGCCACGTTTCTCAGCGCGGCTAGTACTAGAGTCGGCTGTGATAATATATAGGCGAGTAAAAGGATATCCTCCTTTTTCGGTTTTTCCCCGGATGGAACGTATTATTAAGAAAGTCTATCTCCGAAACTATCATAGCCCATACGGCACCTTTCGTTGCAAATATATGCAAATATATTCCTTGTAAGTCTACCGGAGAGTTCTGTCAGTTTCTATCACAAGTCGAGACACGTAAGCACATATCACTACACAAGACTAACGTGAATCAACTTTATTTTACTTATTTTGCTTATGTCAGTATGTATGAAATAATATAATAAAAATAGAGAGGCACACATGCACCAAATAAATATGTGCTTACGTGTCGAGACTTGTTGTGATGGAAAAGGACAGAGCTTTCCGGTAGATATAATATTTAACTATTACATCTAGTATCTTTTAAAATATTTAACTATTACATCTAGTATCTTTTAAAATATTTAATACCTTTAAGGCCTTTCCTGATAGTTGGTTGAACTTGATTCCTTTTGACAGTGCAACCTGTAATTGTAACAAAGAATTAATATCATAACTAAAAAAAGGAATGCAATAGAAGATAATATTATTGTAAGGTAATACACTCACCTCTGGATGATCCAGGAAGCACATTATAGGCAAGTGCGTCGGAGTCTCTGCTGGTCCCAGGTCCCACGTTGTCCTTAGGTCTCACGTTGTCCATTGGTCCCACGTTGTCCATTGGTCCCACGTTATCCATTGGTCCCACGTTGTTCTGGTATCTAACGGTGAGCACAGGTTGACCTATATTAACAAAATGGTATAACATTATATATACACTTAATGTTGGAGGTCTTCTCATTTATATGTGGCGTATTAAGTGTATTAAGATCTAAAACATACATTCTTCTTCTTCTTCAATTTCCATTACAAGTTCCTCCTGTTGCTCGATAGATGTGGCAGGTGCTAATAGAATTTAATAAATATTTTCATTAATAATTTGTTGAATGTAGTTTAAAAAGTGTATAGTCAATTATTACCTGGTAAGTTGCAGCTTGGTACTGCATGACTTGTAAGCTTTGATCCAACGCGGTACTGAATTTCGAAGTGGTCCCCACAATCCATTCGATTTCTCAACCGGTTGGGAGGGAGTTGGAATAGATCCTCCGTTCCACAAGCTTCAAGCCATTTTAAACTTTAAACATCTATCGCTGTCCTTCGGCAGACAGGGGAAGCTGAACATCGGCTGCCTGGTGTTTGTGCACCCCAGTACAGCACATTTTTTGTGGGACCTATAAATACATATTTACATAAAGAAAAAATTAATAATTAAAAATTAATAATTAATAATTTCGAAATTTTTTCTAGATATGATTTCAATAAATAATCAAATGTACTGTGAGTCGAAAGAGTATTCGGACACCTTTTAAATGCTTTCAAAATGCAATTGAAATGAATTGAAAGGAAAGGACAAAGCAGGACAAAAGAAACCACGGGAAAAACCCACCCTGCCCTTTCGTATTGTAACAAAATATATAAAAGTCGTATTTTTTCTTTTAGTAATTATTTAGTATTTTTATAAAAATAATAACTATTTACCTCTTATTATTATCCATAATCGGTGTGAACTAAAAATACTATCGCAGAACCGACAGCACACAGCAGCACACAGCATTTACTTGCACCATGCACTTGCGTGCACTCGCTATCACGTTATGAACATATGGAGTTTAAATTTTGCCGCACTTTGCCGCACTTTGCCGAGCGCGTTCGCCATAGAATAAACGTACACAGAATATGAACTCAATGGCGCGAAAGGAGTGACAGTAGCGCCATCATCCCTTACGCGCGCGAATTAAAATCGGGCTTCAAGTTCACAAGAGTAGAGCTTGTAGGCCCTGGATGATGCTATCAAGCCTTATTTCATCAGTTATTCTTCGATAATCGTTACGTCACGTGTATAATGCCACGCAAAAGCAATACCACGTATAATGAATGACAACTTATGATTTTTCAAAATGCAAAGGGGAAATTATGTAGACATATTGGTTCCATACTCAACATGAGTAAGAGTACAGTAGTAGGTATCATCAAACGGTTCAAATACGAGGATCGTATAGACTCTATACCCCAAAAGGGCCAACCGAAGAAGTTGGATGCACGTGATAAGAAGAAACTAATAAGAAAAATAAAGAAGGTTCCTTCACTCAGTGCACCAAAATTAGAAACAGAGCTCTTAAACGAGATTGGGAAGTACGTCCCCAAACAATTCGCAGAGCCTTAAAAGATAGTGGTTACAATGGAAGAATAGCTAGGAAGAAACCGTATGTGAATGAACAGAATCGAAAGAAGAGATTAAATTTTGCTAAATAAATTTTTTTAATAAAATTTAAGCGATTCTGGATAATTCTACACAAAGAAAATTGAATTTGGAGAACTAGAAGTGGTAAAAATTTTTTTTAAAAATAAAATGTTTTCAATATTTTGATTCCAAAAAAGTTATCACCGCGCAAACCTATACATTTTTTTTTGTCAACTTTACACATTTTTAAAAAGTTAACCATTTGGAATTTCAAAGAAATCCTCGGTGTAAATTAGGCCCAACTATCAGAAAACACGTGTAAAAAATTTGAGAAAAGTGTACCTTTGTATCAAAAACCTAAGTTTTCAGGAGATGCAAGAAACTAAAAATTTCTATTTCCCGTTCGATTATCGATAGAAATGTTATCAAATCGTATTTAATTTGATCAAAATCAATTAAAACACTGTTTTTTCGGAAATTTACTGTTTTCTTTACCCTAGAAAACAGTACCCTATGACTGTGACCAAGGTAACCGCGTCTCCGGTCTCCCGCAAATTTGACTGTCGTTGTTTTCTCTTCGAGAAAGTTGTCAGTTGTATTTCCTTATATTTTTTAGTTTTATTGCGTTCTTTTTACTAAGTTCATGTCGTTGAACTTTTTTTTATCACTTCTAGTGCTCCAAATTCAATTTTCTTTGCGTAGAATTGTTCAAAATCGCTTAAATTTTAATAAAAAAAAAAGAAGTGTTTATTTTCATTTTTTGATGTTCCAAGCTCCTTAACGAACGGAAACGTTCCCTGACAGACTCAGCATAATCGAGCGTAAGACAAAACCGAGACTCCCTCGTGTAAATTAATATAGTGCGAGTAATTAAAATCCGCCTGCAACATAATATTCGCCGAGATAAAACCTCGCGACTTCATATCATCGAAGATAAGGCCGGCCGCCTTCACTGATTCTCATGCTGACGCAGCTTCCGGAGATAAGTCTCGAAGACCGCCGCTATTATGTAACTCCACACCTGCGATAACGATAACACGCTCCGTGCGAACGCTGGACCATGACTCACCCCAGCTAATACAAAGAAGGCTGGAGTAGTGGGGACAATAGAATTCGCTTAGATAAATACGAGCGTCGCCGCATCGTTCAGTTAGTTACAACGTTTAGTCGTCAGTTACAGTTCTCCAAGACGTTCAGTCGCTGACCGAGGCAATCTGGCTTTACGGATTGTCTCGGGCGGCGGTCGCCCTGCGATCGGGACCTCCGGATTCGCGTCGTGCATACCTTCGTTGACATCAGGCCCACCATGAAGTACCTGGGCCTGATCGTCGACGGCCGCTGGAGCTTCAAGGAGCACTTTGACCTCCTGGCCGCCAAAATGGAAGGGACAGCGGCCGCGGTAGCGCGGTTGCTGCCCAATATCGGGGGGCCAGAGTTGAGGGTTCGCCGCTTATATGCGGAGGTGGTGTGGTCGATAGCCCTTTATGGGGCCCCCGTGTTGCATCGCTCGCCCTGCGGGCCATACTGGGATACCGTACCATTTCTGCCGAGGCGGCGGGCCTCCTTGCCGTGATTCCGCCCTTCCATCTGGGGCTGGAATTCGCGGCTGAGAAGGTACGTGAGGTCGAGTGCCAGAAGCGCCAGGCCCGGAGGGACACGCTGGCCCGGTGGAAGCAAGAGCTTGCTCCATCGGGCCGTCCGATTATCTGGGCCATCCTGTCCATATTTGATACATGGCGCAGGATACGAGGAAGGTTGACCTCCGCCTCACGCAGATGCTCTCAAGGCATGAGTGGTTCGGAAAGTACCTGCACCGGATGAGGCGGGAGCCGACACCGCAGTGTCACCACTGCAGCGAAGAGGTGGACACGGCGTGGCATACACTCGAGGAGTGCCCGGCATGGGCCGCGCCGCGCCGTGGGTCTCGAGCGAGAGGTCGTGGAATGCGGCGGCCTCCTTTTGCGAGGAGGTTATGTCGCAAGGAGGCCGCCGAGCGAGCCCGGGAAAGAGACCCGACCTAATGTGGTCGGCCCGTCCCCACTAGGACCACGGGGTACTTCTGAGGCGCGTGGGGGTTGGGGTGAGGAGGTTCGGGGCGTGCCGGATTATGCCTCCGACGAACCTCCCTTACCGGTGTCAACATCTTCTTGCCCAGTCTGCGTGGGGACCCTTGGGACTCCTGTAGCGGAATAGGCACGAAGGTGTCGGGGGCCGTGGATGGACCGAGCGGGGGCTCGAGAAGCCCATATCGGCGGCCCCGGGGATGGCGACACCGGGCGGGTCCCTCTGCCCGGGGTCTTATAGAGTAAGGCGTGGGGGAGGTTAACACCCTCCCCCCGAGATTCATGTTAGCTTGGAAGTGTCCTGTTGAGTATTCGCGTGATCCAGGCGCTTCCTATGTAGCTTAGGCGGGCGTGGGGTTTTAGTGGGTAGCCATCGGGGACGGGCGTGCTTCAACGCTCCCATCCTTGATGGTAGTCTCACATGCATTTCCCCACGATAAGAAAAAAAAAAGGACGTTCAGTCGCTAGTTCTCAGTTCTCCGCCGCCACAGTAATCAGTCAGTTCAGTTCAGTCTTGAGTCGCAGTCTTCAGTTCAGTTACAATCAGAGTCATCAATCAATTGTAATTCTTCAGTCAATCGTACGTCTTATTTGATATTTCAATCGCGACGCATCGTACGTCTTATTTTACATTTCAATCGCGACGCATCGTATGTCTTACTTTATATTTTAATCGTGACGCATCGTACGTCTTACCCTTATAATAATTCAACGTTTATTGTTAACTAAGTGTAACCAGTGTATATTGTTTCTAATTAAATTATTAAACGTTATCGCGTGTGATTTCTTTGTACCCATCTAGTGCCAGATCTGTTCATTTATTATTTTAAATTCCTCTTTTCTTGGGAAGCGTTGCCGGTTGTCTATTTCGAAGTCGCGCCCATAACGGAGCAGCGGCACCGAATAGACCCTTAAGACGTCTTCTGTAGTGATATTTGCGGATTTTGCCACCGTTCGTCTACCTGGGTAGCCATGTCCGCACTCGGTCAGAAGGAACCTGAGGTATAATTCCGTCGATACTTATATAAATCTTCGCATAGTGCCATTCGCTGGTTTCTCCCCTTCGTTTCACTGCCAGGTTAGCCTAGTTCGCACTCGGTCTTGTGGAATTCGAGGAGTGAACCCCGTTAAACTACATTCTATTAATAGGTTATTTATATACAGATTGGAAGGCACAAACAGCCCCGCACCCGAACTCGTCGTTCCAATCGGAGAAGCCGTCGTGGAGGCGTCGCGAAACAAATTAAGAAACAGCAAGCGCGATATATAGAACAATTGTACGCGACCTTTGAAAACCGCGTTTCCTTGTTACTAAATTCTTCCTTTGTGCAATACCGTCCCCCGTCGCCCGCTAACTCCGAGGCATCCATGGTGATCGTCGACTACCCCATCCAGCTCAGCCCAGAGCCATCTACATCTGAAGACGTCCCCTGCATCGACCTCACCCTCAACGACGAGGACGAGTATCTCCCGACCATCGATACCCGGTCAACCGTGCAGAAGTGCCCGGTTCTTTGTTAAAGTCTCTAGTAGAAAACTACAGCGATATACTAAACGGGCGTATGCGGCAAGAATGATATCACTGGTGTGAAAGACTTTATTGTATTAACAATCCCTAAATTGCAATTCATATATATATATATAACAAATAAATAAATGTATTTCATTAATAATCGAATCCCAGTTTCTTCTCACCCTTTTTGACTTGTTGCTTATAAATTCTTCGGTGCTCAACATTTCGATGTCAAGCGCTTGCAGCTCGGAAAAAAAATTGTAATTTTCAACTACCTGCTGGAGAACACGGGCGACTAGAAAGGCTGGAAAGTTTAATTCTACAGGTGGTTTTCCAGAATTAATGTTACACGCTCGACGAAAAAGGGACTCTGTGCCTAAACAAATCTGGACAACACTTTTGAACGGAATTACCAAATAACCGCGCGTAACTGCTGCAACGTATGCCATCGTATTGTTCTTATGAATTGAAATGTAATTCCTATCTGTTTCCTCACAAGCTACTAGGCATTCGAGACATTTTCTTTTGTTAGTTTTTTAATAGACAATATCACCCAGGTCGAAATATACCTATGTCACGTCCCGGATTTCAGATTTGAAAATCTGTCGCCCAGTTCGATCAAATGATGCTTGCTTTTTGCCCCACGCCTCTCTTAAACGCCTCGCGTCTGAACGGGATCCTGATCCTGATTGAGTCTACCTTCGCGATTACTATTTATTAATATTTTAAATCTTCGGACTTACTACTTGCTGGTCTTGAATATGGTTATTGGAATAAGTTTCCACTGTCTCGGTCCTGATGCAGGTGCTGATGCTGGTGCAGGTGCTGATACTGGTGCTGGTGCTGGTGCTGATGTTGATGCTGATGCC